TGCACCTTGCATAGTCCAGCAAGGCAAGTTCTGTCTTTCTGTGAAAATTTTGTTTTTTAAATAATCAAATTATACTAGGATGGAGTTTACTAGATTCATTTTCAATGCTATTTTAATTAGCTAAGTCTGTGAGTCATTTTCCTTCCCTCTGTTGTCAGATGCACATTCTTTGTAAATGGTCAAAGGGGTTCTTTTAAAAATCCTGGGCCAATAGGAGTAAAGCAGATGTTCCTTTTCCAACCTCCTACCATCGTGATACTGGAATCTCTCACTTTAAAAGTGCTATCCTGAAGTAATCTCTAGTCGCTTCCAGTAACTACAGCAAGTCCAACTTCTAATACTTCAACTTGAGCTTCAGTCAAAGGCTTGGTCGTTGCCCTGATACAGAATGACAGCCTCTGTTCCGAAAATGTATTGATGAGATTTCCTGGGAGTTTTGTTTAACCAGCAACATTAGAAACCTTCAGTGTTGCTACTAAATGTCATGAAGGGAGCATCTTATTTTATGAGTATCTTTCTGCAATGGTATTGACTATTCAGTTTTTACAACGAAAACCTGAGATGGGGAATAATTCTTTCTTTTGCCCCTCATATATACATCAAGTCATTGAATACATTGAATCCAAGACTGGATTATCCTCAGTTATTATAAAAGTCAAAATGGCTGTAGTCCTGGAAATCTTCTTTGACAATGAGGACAGGCTAGGAGGTAGGAATGGACGGTAGGTAGGTTCCCTGCAGATATAAGTCAGCCCAGCTTCATTGACTTAACAAAATTGTTTATGATTTATAGACTTTTCTCAGCTATTGCATATAATCAGATGTAGTGAGATGGCAGGACCTCCCCCTTTTCTACTGGGCTAGTATATTCAAATTAACATAAAGCTTGAACATTCTTCCTGTTGGTAAGTTCAATTTGCATACATTAAACCAAATTAAATGGCAACAAAATATATTTTGTGCAAAAATAACATCACTGTTAGTAAATTATAGTTCTCTGACAAAGTAGTGGGCATCTTGAGCTGGACCTTCAGTGCGCCAGGTCTGTGGTTGCTTTGTTTTAGCTCCATTGACCTCGGTGCTGCCAAACCATTTTCTGCTAGTACCATATCTGGTCCAGATGCATTACGGCATCACAACAGATCTTATGGGAATAGTGACAGTTCAGTGCAACAGATATACATGTAGTAAAATCACTGAACAAGTTCAGGTTTTTCCTCTTGGGCTGAATTTTTTAGCTTCTTGGCTGCTCTAGTAATCATCTCTTCGTGAAAAAATAACTTCAGAGCAGAATACCCCATCTTTTGATTACCACGTCTTTTAGGAATTGGTACGTTTCAGACTGAAAATTGAAGACTTTGTGAAATCTTGGGCGTTTAAAGGGATTAAAATCTTGAATGATAAAATTTGGATAATAGTTTAAAAGTGGATAATAGTTTAAAAACTGCTGAAAAACCTTTTTATTTACCGAAACTAGCTTGTGAAACATCTCAAGTTACCACAGAGGCTAAGAGGTCAGCACATTTCAGAGAAGGGTGTTTTTCAGGTATTTGGATTTGTTATAGTAAGTAGTAATCACCCCAAGCTTGGGTTTCATGGAGAACCCAGACACTTGTGTTTCAGGGCTGAACCCACCTTTCAGCTCTCGATACACTTAGAAAACTGTGTGTGAATTATCCCAGTGCTGTTTATCAGCATTTTCCCTTCAAAGCATACAGCATCAGGGCACCATTGGAGACTGCTCTGCATTTGTATGACCTTTAATCAGCTGCAGCTTCACTGTAGTGCAGGATTCATTATGTTTGATATGTTTTGTAAAGAAATAATGTATTTATGTTGTGCAACTGCCTCACACTTTGAATATATTGGGTGATTTCAGGTATTTTATTATCAGATTATGCATAATTCTACAGATACAATTCTGCAAGTGGTAATGCATGTAAAAACAGTTGAAATAATGAACAGTATGAAAGGAGAGGAGATGAGACAAGAGGAGTAGAACAAGGGGCCAAAGAACCACTTCAAAATAAGTACTTGGGATTTTTTTAAATTACTATCATTATCATTTAGCTTTTGTATTCAAGGGTTAACAAACCAAAATAACTTGTTCATTACCTTTTTCCAGCATTCCCCCAGATGTCCTAGATCTGCAAATAACTGAAAAATATGAATTTAGGCAGCTAAAATACAGCCTTCTAACTTCTCCACTGGATCCTTCAGAAGGCGTACCATGTGGCTCAACCTTTTTTCTGAAGGTCAAGAGAGTTTTATTCATCTGACATAAGTAGCTTGAGTGTGGCATTTATAACTTGAGTAATGTTATGGATGATAACACCATTAGACATTTTTACAGCTTCAGAGGAGTTCAGCCAGCAGGACTATCAGCCTGATAAATGCTTTAATCTTAAAGGTTGTATTGCTACAATAACCCCGAAACTTAAAGCTGCTCCTTGAAACCTATAGCCTGGCTAAAGAGATGAAGAGTACCCTCTGACATCTCTAGGTTGCTAAAGAGCTCGCTCAGGTTCCAGTGCAAGAATTAAGGTGCCCACATGCAAGTGTTCTGATCTGAATTGGAAATTACTGTAGGACTTTGTAATTTTAAATGAATTGGGGGCAGTGCTACTCAAAAGAATTAACTTTAGATTGAGATGAGACTGAACTCTCAGTGATGAGTCCCAACTTTTTGTTCCTATCCAATTATAAAGTGTTTCTACAGGATTTTAGGAGGCAGAACTCTTATACTGCTATTTTCAGAAACGACAGAGAGTTTCACCTCTTCTGTCCAGGTATTTTTGCAGTTATAAAACTCCTAGGAGTCTGGTAAAAAATGAATCTATAGAGTAGGCTGAAAGTGGTGAGAGAAGCTAGCAATGACAACCGGTAGAATTTTGGCTTTGTAGGAGTTGTTTGTTTTGTAGAGGTCTGAAAGAGAGTGGTTATGTTCTGAAAGCAGCTAGTGAAAGTGGCCGTGCACTGATGATGCATGTAAAAACAGTTGACATGATGAACACTGTGAAGGAGATGGGATGATACAAGTGGAAGAAGAGTAGAATGAAGGACCACAAGGGAAGGGAGTGTGAGATGAACAAAGGCCAAGTTCTTGCTTTTATATCTAAGAATAGTAATCTGAGGCTTGTAGCAAACTAGCTGCTGCTTTAGCCCAGCAGCTATTTAACACAAAAATGTTTGTAACATGTAATGATTACAGTTAAGGCAGCCAGGTACTGTTTCTTCATTGCTTCTGATAATGTGAAATAACTCCATTGGGTTTCTTAAGATTTTAATGACTTCACTGGAGTTCCTCCGTTAAACTGCTATTCTGGTTTATAACCTTCTGTGTTTCCTGATTATCACCTTGATCACAGAAGAAATTTTAGTGCTTATTTTTGATTGAGACCTTTGAAGCCACGCTTCCTTTCTGAAACTTTCAAAAGTGCAACCATGACAATTGCTTCCTGGGTGAGTACTGTTGTATAAGTCTGACATAATACACACTTTGAATACTGGAAGTCTGGCACAACATCTCAGAAGGAAGATAGAAAGGAAGACCTCTGACGGCAGAGGTCAACAAGGGTGACTGGAGGCTTTGAACAACAACTGTACAGGGAGATCCTAAGTAGGCTACGATTCTTCAGCTTGGAAAAGACATAACTAAGGGATTAGATAATAGAGGTCTATAAAGTTGTGACCAATGTTGAGAATGTAAGTAGGAAACAATTATTCTATAGTTCTTGTAGTGTTAAGAGGTAAAGGTTACCAAATGAAATTATCAATTATCAAAGAAGAGGCAGTATTTTTTGCTGGAAGCTACATGTGTGTGCAGGGGAGGTGCCTGTTTAGTGCATCCTGTTCTCTTACTCTTCCCTGAACACTTGACCGCTGTTAGAGATAAGATACAAGGCTAGATGAATTTTTGATCTGGGCATATAATTGTTAGAATCTTAAATTTACAGGCACTGATAATAGGTGGTAGACTGAAGGACAAGTATAAGATTTGCCCTTCCTTTGAGCTTCATTTTTAATGATGGCTAGTTTTCAAGTTGATGAGTGCCTTTAAACTTGCTTTAAAACATATTTGCCTCATATGGAATTATGTGATAGCAGCAGCAGTCTTGGCTAATGCATTTATTGTTTTGTGGATTTATTAATCCTTATTTCCTGATGTTTTTCTAGAACTCATCAAATATGCAGGATCTTAACTTGCTTAAAGCCTCAAGACAGAAAATGCATATAAAAAAGAAATTGTAGGTTCCAGTCAGTCTGACTTCAGTCAGCACACACTGGCTACAGAGTAGTTTAGGGGCAAGAAGAAAATCTACATTATCCATTTTGTATTTGAAATCATGGGTAGAAGCTCTTCTTCATCCCTTCCTGAATGTGTAACATATTGCCTTCCTCTTGGGCTATAATAATCTACTTCCAGTTGACCGATCATATTGCTTTTTGTCTCTGTTTTTGGAAGACATTCTCCCACCATCTCTCAGCTCATTAACTGGATAACCTGTACTCCTCTATTCAGCTTTCTGTTTCTCACAACCTGTTTGGAATCTCTGCTAAGACCTCATTTTTGTCAGCTGTGCCTTTTGATATTGTTACAACTGACGCATACCTCGGTTTCTGCCACCAATTTTAGAAGTTTCTGTATAATCCAAGAAAACTGCAGAACCTGTGTAGCCCTTCTGCCCACTCACTTTAGTGGTAGTAGTGGCCAAGTTCAAATAAGGTGTAATGGCTCATATTGAAGTGAACAAAATGCACCGTACTGTGAAACGTTATTTGCTCGCAAATTTTAGAAACTTACCTGTAGACCCTGGTGCTTTGACTTCACTCTTTATATATATCTTTGGTTGTGGTGTCCTACTGTGACACCATTTCACATCCCTGACTGCTTTGCTTTCAACTAATTTCCAGCGTAGCTAGTTAATTACAAGATGCGTTTCAAGGAGAGTCCAGTGGCTGATGTTTGGTGGGACTGAGGGCCATTCTGTTATTTTCAGGTACTGTTTGGCACTGCTGATGGACAGGTTATCGTCATGGACTGCCATGGCCGAATGCTGGCCCACGTGCTCCTTCATGAGTCAGATGGCATCCTCAGCATGTCCTGGAACTACCCCAGCTTCCTGGTGGAGGACAGCAGCGAGAGTGACACGGACTCTGACGACTATTCCCCGCCGCAAGGTAATGTGTACATGTCCTTCTGTTGCAGGTTTGCAAGCACTCGTGAAGGTATCTCAAACGCCAGGGAGTGGTCATGCTGTACTGAAACAGTAGGATGGCTGTGTTTTCAAGCTGATAGAGGCCAAAAGATGGTGCATTCGCTGTGGAGGTAGCATGGGAGATGGAGCAGAGGGCTGGTATGGGGGAGTGGTTTTGTCCCCAGCTCCACCACCAGCCTCACTGCATGGCTTGCTGCAGATCATACCTCATCTGTGTTGCTCTGCCTCTGTTTGCACAAATGAGATAACAACACAAAGCTCAAAGTTTTTAGTGAGGGTGGGTGAAAAACACTAGATAGGGGCATATCAGGTTTCATGGTAATGGTCCATATGTATGGAGGTAGTCAGAGGGCAGTCACAAAAGTTAATGCATTATTATATAGATTTGTGTGAAAAGACACCACTACTAGACATAATGGAAGGTATTACATCTTTAATTTTAAAGAAATTCTATGAAGCAGAGATAATGCTTATCATTATAGTTCCATCCTTGATTGTCCTGACATAAAGAGATCAATAAATTCCATAGAAGGATTGGAAATGAAAATATTTCTTGCAGGTACACAGGGTAGAAGAAGGGTGACTGGAGCTGTCTGGAGTTACTAATTCCCATGCTTCAGAGCACATTGCCAGTTTGAGGGTCAGGAAGAAATCCTTCCCTCCCCTTAAATATAAATATAACTCATTGGGTGAAATGTTTTGGTTTTAAACTCTCTGGAAATCATCGATAGCAAAGACCTAGGAGGCCTAGTTATCCATGCATAGTCTGGGATAGGATGTGGTCATCGCTCCTTTCACTCCTATCCTTCTTACTCAAGCAATGCTAATACTTCTCTTTGTTAATGCTGTTGATTAGTCCATAAGATCTAGGTAAGCTGTTTCTGTATTCCAGTGTATAAAGTTTGAACTAAATTAAGGACTAATATAACAGTGATTGTACGATGAAAAATTTAAATACATAATAGCTAGAAATAATTCTGAATCTGCGTCTCAGATCTGAACCACTGAATTGAGGACTCTAGCAGTTTTAGCTCTAATTTGGACTCAGTCAAAAAAACTACCTTTTCCAGAATTGTGTATGTATGTCACTATAATAAGCATATGTATTTAAAAACTAGTGATAGAAGATAATGTGCTCATCTAGTAAAATGTTAGCATCTTTTAAACAGAGTTCTGTTTTGTTTTTTCATGCCTCACTTTTGATACTGGGTGAGATTTCTTGCCTTAGAAGGAAAGAAACAAACTTCAAATTTCCTAGCAAGCTTCTAAAGCAAGACAAGGAACAACATTAAATTGTTTTTTCATTGCTTTTTTAAAATACTGAGGTTCCAGTTGAAGGATGGTGAAGATGCAGAGTACACAGATGAGAACTTAAATGATCCAAATGTGCTAGCTTTTTCTGAGTCAATAGGGGGTGGGTGGACTCGTTACAAGCCTACAAGCCTATTTTAATGATTACCCAAACATGATGTGTTTTCTTTAGAGCAGATGCAGCACAAACTTCTCAAAGGTGACAAACCTTCGACTCACACAGATGTGTAGGAAGGACTGGAAGTTTGATGGGTTTTTCTTATCAAATTATGTACTCATAGAGATGCTAATTACTAGACATCTTTCTCCAAAGTGCTTTTTGATCAGCTTTTTTACAAGGTCAGGAAGCAATACTGCTCTTAACTGGCTGTGCCATTTTTGTTGACTGAGAAGATGCTGGTTGGGCCTTGAGAGGCACTTTATCAGGGGCCAGCAGCATCTTCTGTCAGAACTTGTAAACAAACAGAGTTACAGTGAGTGCTACAGATGATAATATTGGTCATTAAGTAATTGAATAAGGGAATTTCAGTGAATACTGAAAGAGAAGCCCAGAGGAGCAGAGACTTTGCAGAAATGTTTTTTAAAGCCAAGTGTTCCATTTGGGCTCATCTCTACCTTTGAGTGCATTGGATCCTGTTATGCAGGATGGCAGGTAATTTTTCATGCTGCTGCCTAGCTCTTAACATTTAGAATACAGTCATTTGTGAAAGGTGAGGATGTTCTTTTAGCAGTTCTTATAATGTCTCTATGTGACTTCATGAGGAGTCCCCAGCACTTGCCCAAGCAGAAACTGCATCCAACAAATAGCTTTTAATGTGATTATATTGTTTATTATACTGGTTTTCAACTTGGGTCCCAAGGAAGCCTTCCAAAGCATTGGTTTTCAATTTGTGGACACTTTGTGGAGTTGACAATGGAGAAAGATTGAACACCACCGCTGTATAACATAATAGTATATGCATCAATCACTTTGGATATACTGCAGTAAAAATTCACAAAGTAAAAACATTGGGGTTTCACAAAAGCAGACAAACTAACTAGTTAAACCTACTTTGCTTTTGCCCATAGACGTTGCAGAAATAAGCAGATAGAGCTTGAGACTTGGAACCACTCCTGATGGCGGTAGGCTGAAGTACAGTGTATTTCAGCCTGGATGTAATTACTTCTGGTCGCTTGCCTTTTGCTCACTCCAGAGCTTTGTTTTTGCAGATGGACCAGCTGCCTATCCAGTCCCGGTGCAGAACACCAAGCCACTACTGACTGTCAGCTTCACGTCGGGAGACATCAGTTTAATGAACAATTATGATGACTTGTCTCCTACTATCATCCGCTCAGGGTTGAAAGGTACAAAAGGAAGCCATTTCACCCCCTTCCTATGCTCTGTTTTTCTTGTATATTTAACGATGTGTGTGTAGGTTATGTTTTTGCAGTTGTCTTTGCTAACCCAGAAGCACTCAGCCACCGTTATTGCCGTTTCCAGCAGTGACACCTGCTGGTGGAAGAGCAGCGCTCGGCTGATAGAGTTTCTGTGTTTGAAAAAATGTTTACATTTTTGAGATCACGTTTTTATGGCAGTTTTGTAGAGCAATTGATCTGTTTGCTGTTTTTCAGCTGAATGTGCTAATATGTTTATGCTTCTTTGTGTGAATGCCTCTGCTACGTAACACTTCCTTTGCATCTTTAATTCACAAGGTCTCCACCCATGCTTTTGGTAACCAGGTATGAATCGCAATGCTGCTTTGACTCCCACAAATTTTGAAAACTTGCTAGAACTGTTAATTATCAAGAGGCAAGTTATTCTGAGAGAAGGAAAATTCTACTGATTAATTACTATATATCTTGCTAAGTGATGTGCATGAATGTTTGTGCAATCAGTATTCCATGTAAAATCTTTAACTCACATTGAAATTTTTACTGTTCTTACCTATCAAAAAAGTCCCTTACTTTGCCAGCAGTCTCAGTACAATTTACAGTGCTTTGCCTGCAGAGACGCTTAGTTCATTACAGCACATAAGCACATACTTAAATATAGGTTCCATTGATTCCTTTTCATCTCCACAGGTAAATTAGTTTTATATTAGATGAAAAAAAAAAAAATTAAGCTGTTGGAGCAGACTCTTAGCTGTTCTGTAATAGCAGGATATTTTTGGTGAAAAGTTGCCCTAACACCAGCCTAGTAGTTTTTGGGTGATCCACTATGTAAGGTAGTCTTAGTAGGTAAAAACATCACCTTTGAGGTTTCTTTTCTACTCCTGCTTCCATCTGTGCCAACACAAGAAGCGCACGGCTGGGCAAAATACGGCATCACGAGGCAACCTTATGATCCAGAAAACTTCTTCAGCCAAAAGGACACCTAAAGTCTGGGAAACTGGAACTAATTTAGAGATCTTGTGATACTCGCCAACGGGTCTGCCCAGAATCTCTACAGTATTATAGTAATTAGAGTAGGGAGTAATCTTGAATTGTCATCTAGACTAGCTTTCACCTGGAAACAGCGGGAGAAACAAACCCCGTCTTATTCTCTGTTTAGAGTTGCAGGGCTCTATCTTGCTGAGGATGTCTGTCCTGTTTCTCTTTCCCCATTGACTTTCACTAATGTAAAAAAGATCCCTTAATTACGCCACCCTCCTCTAGCAAAACATTAATGTGCAAGCTAGAGTAGAAATATTTTTATGAATTGTAAACTGGGCTACATTGTTCTCATCAGTAGATGAAGAATGTGCAACATCTTGCTGGATTCGGAGTGTGTGTGAGAGAGACTGAGAAAGGTGACTGGGATATCACTGTCTGTTGTTTTGAAGCATTGTACAGTGGAAAGTATTTTACATATAGTTTTATATAGATGTACACATTTTCTGTATCTCCTTACCAAATTTTTTTTTAAGTGAGTGTAATTTTACTAGTTTTTATCACATGCAAGAATGTGCAAAACCACCCAGCTCAGGGTCTTCATTCTCTCCATCCACTTGGTATTCTGCTTAGAGTGGATGGTCTTCAGTATTGTGTGTGAGTCTTAATTCATGTGTTTCTGTTTGATATCTGTAAGTATTGCTTTGTGGTCTCTGCAGCAGATGCCCTTGTCTTTATGGGCTGCTGGAGGCTACTCAATGTATTTTTAAAGCAAGCAACTATAAAACTGTTTCAAGCATTACCAATATATTTTTGCCATTCTACTAGCTTTGCATAGCTGTCATTTTACTGGGAGTATTCATATTAAATTGATGCAGAAAAACATTTGCTGTTGGATGAGAATTTGATTACCCAAATACAAGTTCTTCTTTTCATCCAGCTTGAACGCTCCTGGAAGTTTTATCAGTTCTAGAGGCGGTCCTGAACTGTTCAGCTGTATCCTTCCTTTTTTACGCTTTTTAACTCAGTGATTCGCCGGCCACTCCTACTCGCCGACCGGCAAAAAAAAGAACTGCTGAACTGCATGTACTAGATGTACTAGCTAGCTACAACTACTACCTGCAGAGCTATTGCACATTTAGAGTGCTATCTGTTCAAGGTTTGCTGATACACATGCCTGTAGCGGCTGGCAAGTAGTTTTGAGGGATGGCTCTGATCCACTGATTCACTTGCAGACCATTACTCTAGGTGAAACCTCCATCTGATTTCTAATGTCTGTGCTTGCGCTGAGACCTAGTTATCAGTTGAGCTATTTTATATCAAGGTTCGCTAATCGTTGAAGACCCCGTTGGCAGTTCAAGTGTGCTGTAGAGCCACGCTGTCCCGGGGGGATGCTACAGCCCACGTCCAGCCCTTCGATGCCTTTGCAGCAGACTAATTCTAGGAGTTTTGAGAGAGAGAGAGAAAACTGCTAGACACAGTAATCGCTCCTCTTCTTCTTGGTATGGGGATCAACTGAAAGTTTTACCTGAAGACGTATCCAAAGGGGACTGTTTTCTCACTTTGGTAGTTGTGTAGTTAATCCAGTTACCAAATGTGGAGTTTATCAGCTTGTGTCATTGATTTCTAACCTGCCTATCGTTATACTCTCCGAGAAAGATAAATAAATTCTATTGCAGATTACTTAGAGGGCTGTGTACTAAGAGAAAAAAAGAGGCATACAATGCCTAGCTGTGGAAAAATTCATAGAATCATAGAATGAATGGTTTGGGTTGGAAGGGACCATGGGCTGGGACACCTTCCACTAGACCAGGTTGCTCAAAGCCCCATCCAACCTGGCCTTGAACACTTCCAGGGATGGGGCATCCACAGTTTCTCTGGGCAACCTGTTCCAGTGCCTCACCACCCTCATAGTGAAGAATTTGTTCCTTATATCTAATCTAAAGCTACCCTCTCTCAGTTTAAAGTCATTACCCCTTGTCCTACCATTATGTGCCCTTGTAAAAAGTCCCTCTCCAGCTCTCCCGGATCCTTCTCTTCTCCAGGCTGAACAATCCCAACTCTCTCAGCCTGCCTTCATAAGAGAGGTGCTCCAGCCCTCTGATCATCTTTGTGGCCCTCCTCTGGACTCGCTTCAACAGGTCCATGTCCTTCTTATGTTGGGGTCTCCAGAGCTGAACGCAGTACTCCAGGTGGGGTCTCAGGAGAGCAGAGTAGAGGGGAGAATCACATCCCATGACCTGACGTTCACGCTTCTTTTGATGCAGCCCAGGATACAGTTGGCTTTCTGGGCTGCAAGCGCACATTGCTGGCTCATGTTGAGCTTCTCATCAACGAACACCCCCAAGTGCTTCTCCTCAGGGCTGCTCTCAACCCATTCTCCGCCCAGGCTGTATTTTGCTTGGGTTTGCCCCGACCCATGTGCAGGACCTTGCACTTGGCCTTGTTGAACTTCATGAGGTTCGCACGGGCCCACCTCTCAAGCTTGTCAAGGTCCCTCTGGATGGCATCCCTTCCCTCCAGCGTGTTGACCGCACCACACAGCTTGGTGTCGTCAACAGACTTCCTGAGGGTGCACTCAGTCCATGTCACCAACAGAGATGTTAAACAGTGCTGGTCCCAATACCAATGCCTGAGGGTTGTATTATTATTATAAAAATTATATTATAAACATTATCTTGAGGAGCATGCGTCTTGCCTCTGATATGTACAGAAGTATAATTCCCATGAGAAATATCAGAAAGTTGAAATCATACAAAACCATTTTAAATTGCACATAAAAGTCCCTGAAAATGACAAGTTGACAACTTGAAACAATTTGGAGATCCTTCCTGCCAACTCTCATTTCTCTCCTGCTTCTTCATTTGAAGACAGCTTCTCGCCCACAAATGTCTTCAAAAGGTTCTTGGCAGATTGAGCATCCCAGAGCACAAAAGTTTTGTCTTTACCTTCACTTTGTCTCAGCACAAAATAGCTCCCTTTCACCTCTGATTCAAGAGTAAAAAGGTTTAACGACTAGCTCAGTATTCCTTGCACATGCAAATCTGCCTCCAAAACACAAGCAGAAACACAAAATACTGATTTAGTGCTCTTGTTGCAGTGTGACAAAGAGCTGGAGGATATAAGGGTTTGAAATTAGCATCCCCAAATGACGCTGTGGGCGTTCCTCATAATAAGGTGCCTGTAGGAGAAGTAACTGATATGTATATTCATATCCACGTACATGAGACACTAAGCAATCCCTGTGTGCTTCTGGCAATCCTGCTAGACAGATGAGTAGATTTTCACAAGTCATGTGTCAAAAGAAAACCTATGACATGGAGGCCATCTGTATTTATGGACAAAAATCCAAAAGTCTTTCTAGTTTGGTGTTACACTAAAATATAAGTCTAGTTTGAGTGGTACTGAAAGTTATAGCCGCAGCTGGTGAGAACATGAGGCATTACCAAATATGCTGCTTTTTTGTCCTGTAGGTCTTCCCAGACAAATATTCTTTGCTGCTCTCTTAGTCAGTGAGGTTATTTATCTGCATATTAACTTAATTTCAGGTATTTACCCCAAAGATATGCATAGGATCTTCCACATCAGTTTTAACATCTCTAGTAAATTCTTGTACATAGGTACTTAGGAGCAACCACTGGTTACATTCTAGACTCACAATAGAGAGAGAAAAATGAATGGGTTTTACACATTTTTTTGCAATTTACGAAATAAAGAGTCATTCTCAGAAGTGAATATGCAGCATATTTGCTACTATTTCGATGAAAGGATTTAGGTTTCTAAGTACTTAAGTAACCTTTGAGAGCATGATTTAGCTGTTCAAGTAACTTTGCAGCATCTGGAAACGCTGCTCCTACTGATTCTAATCACTGATTGTTGCAAACTGTCTTTGCAATTTCAGATGTGGTGGTACAGTGGTGTACACAAGGGGACCTACTTGCAGTAGCAGGCATGGAGAAGCAGAGCCAGCTAGTTGACCTCAGCAATGGTTCCATGTTGAAAAGCGCACTTGTCAAGTTCTACAATGTGCGCGGGGAACATATCTACACGCTGGAGACACCTGTGCAGGTAGGAGGTATTTTTTAAGTCAGTTCTCAATGCTTTGCTGACTTGCTTTTCCCACATCAGCTCTTTGTGAAAGAGCTGCAATGTGAAAAGGTTCACAAAGGTTTTAAAGGTTTTAAAAAGGTTTACCTGCAATGTGAAAAGGTTTGCAAAACGTCCTGAACACATTCTAAAATACGATATAGATAAAATTGCACTATAAATAATTATTGTTGGCATTAAGGTAAACATCCAAGAGTGTGTCTGTTTCTGAGGCCCACTGTGCTAGGTTTTGTGCAAATCTATAATGAGAAACAGTCTGTTTCCCAAAATCATTGGGCCATGAACAGACAAGATAGAAAAAGGAAATTGTTGTTTTACGGATAAGTGACTGAGGAGAAAAAAATGGATACCTTATTTGACATTGTAGCAAAGCCAAGAACTGGCCAAAAATATTCAAAGTGCAGCGTCATAACCACAAGATGATTCTCTCTTTGTTATTGCTGTAGTTTTCTAATGTACAATCAGTGGATCTGATGCAATATTTTACTTTTTATGGCATCAGATGGAGAAGTATGAATCAGAAAGTCTCGTTTCTGTTCCCACCTTCTGTACAGACTTTCACTGTAACCTCAGTCGTGTTACTTGACAAGTAAATGTCAACACATGGTCTGTGCTGCTTAGGAGCACAACATGCTTCATAGGTCTTCGCTGATATTTCAGAACCCAGCTGAATGTCAGTCTACAGTTAATTTCATTTTCTGCAGAATAGGGATGACCCCGTTCTGATTTCTGACTGTACTAGTGAAACTTAATTTACAATAGCTTTGAAATCTAAAAGTGAAGGAAAATGCTATGGATATGTTTACTTACTTATGTTTAATCATGATACCATTTGTTATCATTTCTTTTTCAGTACCCTGATCTGGGATGGATACAAAAGGATGACGTAGTAAACCAGCTGCTAAGCTTTTGTGTTTGCTTATATTTAGCATTAACCTGTGCTTATTAACGTTAGCACTCTAATTTAGATAGAATTCTTTAGTTTTGTAATGTATAAAATAATGTTCTCTAAAGCCAACCTAAATATGTACAGTGACATCTAATGCTGATTTAGGTATCTAAAGGACTTACCCATACACAGTTTTATTGTCTTAAACATAGCCCTTTCAGCTAAGTAGCACAGCCCCTTCCTCTTCGGATCAATTCTGGAGAAAACCTTTTTGTGCTGGTGTTGCTTATTCCCAGACCAGGTAAAAACCGAACCTTGTTCTGTTACTTCAGTACCAGAATACCGTATGTCCATGTTAGCTGTTGAACCAGTGTAACACTGGTGTCAGGTTGTGAAATCAAGCTGTGGTTTGAGCAGCGGAACTGATGGGGTCAGGTTGCCTTAAGGTGTGCATGTGTGCAGGCTCATCTCTTACTGCTCTCTCCCCGACTTCGTTCCCAGTCACCTCAAATGCCTTCATTTCCTCTGGTTCTCCCTATATCCCATCAACTTCTTTTCATATTTTCACCTCTCCTTTCTCCTTTACTTAATCAGCTGGGAGAAAGCACATATTGTGGCTGACGCGAGGGCTAATTATTCTGCCATCATATAAGTACTTATAGGACAACTGACAGGTCATACAGAACAGGTAACTAACTGCCAAGTTCATACTGCTGTATTTCTCATAGTGAAAATATTAACATGAGGCTCTCTGCTCTTTCCAGCTGCTAATTTTCACTGAAATTGCAGCAGTTTAACATCATGGAGATTTCTTCCCCCTTTGTCAACTTCAGATGAAAAGCCAACAGCTTCACAAGTTGTAAGCCAGGTTGGAAGTGAAGGATGGGGGGGTGGCAACCACCAATTAATAACGCAGTCATGGAGTCTCATTTCCTTAGGAAGCCAGGGTAAAAATAACATTCGAAGTGATGTATTTATGTTTATTAAAAGACTCTGTGCATAAACCTGCCTAAAATTAGAGCCACTCCTCTTCTTTCGTTAGTTAGTGTTTATTCCCTTTATTTAGTGCATTTAAATTCCTATTTACTCAGCTGCAGGAGGAAGTGAGAGGGTCTTTCAGAAGGACACCTGTATCTGCTTATTTGTAGACTTTATGCTTCTATGTATTTGAATGGTGGTCTAACGGTATTACCAGCTAAGTGACAGGTATGCTAGAACATTGCTAAGTATTTGGTTTACTAACAAAACCAGATAAAAAACGCTGTTGCAAAAAAATTGTTAGTAACTTTTGTTGTTCTGTGTCTCTGCTCCGAAGATGTGTATGCAAAGATGACAGAGTTAGTCAGTGGTCCCAGTAATTTGTCTGATGACAAATTCATCAGAGTAAATTAATTTGTTTTCTGTACCTTAACAGTCAGCCTTGTAATGGGATTTTATAGAATTCATCACTGGTTATTGAAGAAAAGAATTTCCTCATCTTGAACTCTTCTGAAGCAAGCAAATGTGTGACTGGAAAAGCACATTTATTCTAAATGAGCATTGTTCTGAATATAAAGCTCAAGAAAAGTAAAGCAATAACAAACTTAGAAAATAGTGGATTACAGTTGCAGAAATGATTTTCCATGTGGTCCTCTGTCCCAATTCTTTGATAAGGCAGACGTCTGAAAATTTTATCAGTAAAATATACTGAACTGTTTCTGTTTCTGCTGTTTGTCTGTCCTGTCTTTGGTAGCATATTCAGGAAACGAGATTTTATCATTTATAACAAAACTCAGTCTAAAACTGACGTAGGATTTGTACACAACTTGGCTGGAATGTTACCTAATATAAAGTCATTGCAAACCCCAAGGCAGAGTAGGTTTGGGTACTGCAGGTTACTCATCTTGATGATGACCGTTGTCATGGATTCCTTCAAGGTGTTTTATATGCCACCTTCTCCTCCAGCTTTAGTATGGTCTTGGCATCCTCTGTCTCATTTGATTAACTCACTTAAGCTCTTACCTTCGGTGTAGGATTTTATGGTTCATAAACCTAGTTTGCTGACTATAAAACCCTAGACAGGGAAATCACACTTGTTTAGAAGTATCCAAATGAATGCAGTAGCTTTGCATGAAAAATACCGCTCATAAACAGAGTGGTAGAGTTAGCGTAGTGTAACAGTCTCTCTTGTTCCCTGCTCTGGGGCTTCAGCCTGCCACCCTGACATGCTGCAAGAATATATTTGTAGAATATAGTGGAAAGAGCTGAAAAAGCATCAGTAAGGGTTGGGCAAATGTTGAACTACTGCTACACAGAATCAAACTGGTTCGAACCTTGAAAGAATGGTGAAAAAATTTCAGGAGGGACTTCAGAAAGTTACACCAGACCTTTATCTTATTGGAAGTAATTATATGAAAACGAGGTCCATACTGTGACTCCAAAGACTTGATTTTATAAATGAAGAGCCTATCTTACTTATTTTATAAATAAGCAGCATATCTTAAAGGCTGTTGATGAGCTGATAACCATTCAAAAATATACTATCAATTTCCATAAAACTTAGCTCTTACTACGCTTGTCCTTGTGTACACAAACACCAACCTGATGAACCAAAAATATGCCCAGTTCTTTTAGCTGACAGTTTTTTCATGGTCTTGCTTTTTCAACATTTAAAAATGTGATTACAACAGCAAGCTCCCCTGGTGCTCGTAATTTTTTATTGGAAGAATGTTAATTTCTTACATTATTTGTTAAATCCTCATAACCCTTCCCTGGCATCAAGCAGGGTTGAGAATAATCAACTCATTCAAGACTGCTTTACAGTCTTGCTAAAATTGTTTGCTCGAAGTGCTGCAACCCAGTTCTGTCATTTCAAAATTTCTCATCAGATGTGCCAACAGGTCTGTATTGTATCAACTAACCACACCTGCTGTGATAAAGCTCTCTTCTGAGTGGATACAGCTGCTTCGTATCTTCCCATTTGAACTTCAAACAGAGGAGTCTCCTGCAGGATCACTTCAAAATTACCTAACTGCTGACTTTACCAAACCTGTGAAATTATTCCGTCCGATGGTTCACAGTTGTGGCTTATATTTTGGTTCCTTCTTTGCTTTTCATAATTTTCTTTCCTATATGTCCCAGAGAGGACCAGGGGAACAAGAACATGGATTTAGAAAGCATGATGCTGATCTCTTTTATACACCTATAATCCTAGAGTAAATTTACATTATCTTACGATTTTATACCACTGTGTAACTGGTGTAAGAACAGATTAAACCTCAAGTGCAATGAAGAAGAAGGATAAGAGTGAACTGCGCCCGTATGTTCCAGAATCAGCTGTATAGGCAACAAGATTAGGTGCAGAAAAACTGCGATCACATTTTTATCAGCGTAATATTTTTAAACTCTAATTCACAGTGGTGTACCAAGGGCTAAATCTTTGTGGGAGAGGTTTCCAGGAGTCTTTGAGAAAAAGACCCACTTGCTCTAAACCTGCTGCTGCCAGCAGCAGCCTTCACAGCATTTCACGGACTGCTTCTCTACTGGAAACGTCCCAGCATCTGAATGGATACGTTTAAGATTATATGATCCTGCAGAAACCTGGTAGTTGTGTAAAAGCTATTTTACTAAGGCCTGAGAAGGAGGGTGCCATTTTAGGTTAAATTCAGATGAAAAGGCTTTGAGATAAGAGGCTGCCTTTTATGTTACCCAGCTGAGCTGACCTTGCTTACTTTGTCTTCATTTCACATAGGGTGTTCAGGTTTGTTGCTTCTGAATTAACATTGCCTTTCATGTATACCGCCTGAAATGAATCCTATTTAGTTGTTATTGGATGACATCAAGGCTTCAAGAAGAGTTTGATTTTCTTACAGAAACAAGAGCAACAGTTTCGAACTAGCTGGTGAAACATTCTTTGGGATATCCATAAGAACCTTGATGTTTTCCATATAGGCCATAAGGTCATCTCTGACGGCTGCAGAAATGGGTCATGATCAGGACTGGAAAATGGAGGCACTTGTCTAAGCAAAGACTCATTCTGCCAAAAAGAAATCTCATTGTTGTATTGAAATTCTGCCCCCCCCCCAAATTACTGTAGAAACAGGGTATAAGGAACATCTGCAAATCAAATAAGAGTTTGCTGCATCAAAAATCATATAAAGCCACGGCAGGATAATTTCTGACCATGTCGTAGTCTTTATTGCTTTATCACCATCAATTCTTACTAGTTAATATTAATCCCACTGTAAATATGGGGAACAGAAGAATGAAGAAGTTACGTTACTTTCCAGCAACCATCCGTGAATACTGTGGCAGTACAGAGATGTGCACACACAATTCACGAGAGCTGGCTGGGCACTGCAGCCCTTGCACCTTCCAGCTTCTCTCTGAAAAAAATGGAGGGAAAAATGCGTGCCTCCACATCAGCAGTCTAAAGTGAGAGAAAGCAGGCAACGTACATCAGAGTTTTACTTACACATACCATTCACTAGACACTATGTTGCAGTTGGGTTATTTCTTCTGAGAAAAATCCCACTTGTTGCTGGGCTTTCTGCCCTGGATTACCATTTTTATTTCATTACCAGTGGGACTCCCAGTGCCAGCAGACAAGGGATTAGTGCAAGCAGCAGGCAGGCCCCATGGCTCAGGATTTCTGAGCTCAAGGCAGGCAGCAAGAATCAGCTTGAACAGTGTTTTTGTTGACTGAACTGCATACAAGTGATGAAAGGTACATAAATTATCTTGTCTCCTGCAAGAGAGACAGATGAGTGACTTACAAGAAGCAACCACAGAGCTTGAGCAGGAATATCCATTCCCGTGTGGTTTTCTAAGGGGAGTCAACATCGCAGCTGGGGGTACAGATTTGAGTAGATGTAGCTGACTTTCAAGCCCACTCTGAAAAAAATGACAAAAGAGCTCCTTGTTGGCCACTTTTTGACATGTGTTTTCAGTCAATATTTCTCCTCATAAAACATCTCATTTTTTTTCTTCTTTAGCCAATTATTTCTAATATATAATTGTCATAGAGCTGAATCCTATCTATGTGTAGAAGTTCAAGAGTTTTTCCAGGATTTTTTTTCCTACATGTTTGTATTTAAACCCTGGAATTCATTCAGGTATTTACAGTTTGTGCTGAGATTTTTCAAAACCTGATGGGATTTTTATATGCAAAGTGAGATGAGAAATTATCATTAGATGTTATATTTGTAGCTGCATTTCCTTGTTCCTAGCAGAAAAAAACAAGTGTGCGAACATGGAAAATAAAATTCTTCTGTGCTAGAATCTGCTTGTTCATTTTCTAGCAGATGCAATATGGGTATCAACAACTTTTTTCCTTCCTTTTTTTGCTAAAACAATGCAAATAAGTGGATGCATTATGAAGAGCAATACTTCTGTGTTGGATGTTGGAGTTCAGTGGTTGTTTCTCAGCAGAGTTTGGAAGGAAAGCTGTGGCTTTCCCCCAGTCATAACTGACTTGCTGCAGTAATTGATTCGTATCCCTTGTCCTTCAA